TACTGGGGGAAGAGAAGGCTGGCAATTGTTTCTATATACCTTGTATTAATAAAAAACCTTCTCACAGAGAAGAATATAGACTTTTAAATATTTTCAATCCTGATACATGTACCATGGTAAAAATTCACATTTTCATGCATTAGTGAGACACTCTAAATCCTGCCCCAGGCAACTGTCAGAGCAGCTGTGTCCAGTTCCTAGCAGCTGCCTCACATTCAGCTTTAGTACCAGAAGCTTAAACTCTCAATAGCTGAGCAACTGTGGGGAGAGAAAACACAGTTCTACCAGATTTGGAAAGGGAAAGAAAGAAGAAAGTGATGGGTCTTTCTGTTCCCAGAGGCGCAGTAGCTCTCCTGTGTCCCAGAACAAGACAAAGCAGTTCGTGTTTCCAGTCCCACCAGACCTGCCATGTACCATTGCTGATGACAAGACCAAGTGCAGTGTCCATTCCACACAGTCGTCAGTAGTCTAAAAGAAACATACCCATCACATGGCAAGAGAGAAATAGCCCTTTGGAGCACAGCTGAGTCCCTCTCCCCTCAAACGGGCAGAACACTTATCTATTGCACCAGTTTTTCCAATGTACCAGGAAGTATCCCCAGGGTTGATGCCTTTCGCAGTGATCTATATACACTTCTCTGATAAATTCAGTGTCTCTGTTGGGAAGGTGACCTGCAGAGGGCTGCCCTTGGATGCAGAGCTGGCCCCACCACCAGGCCTGATTTCATTCACCAGGAGGATGCTCTCGGAGTCCTGTCCCTGTGAGGAGTCCGAGGTCTCCAGGCTACGCAGTGTCTTTACTGATGTGGTGTCAGACTGGGCCAGGCTGGCGGCAGGGCCTGGGAGCAGCATGCGGCCCCCGGCGCTGCTTTCGCTCAACTCTGGGGGGTACAGCAGCGTTTGCGAGGTGCTGCTGATCTCCCGCAGCTCACGAGAGATGAAGGAGGGCGACTGGCTTGACATGGCAGACGAGGTCCTGCGGCCGTCCGTGCAGTTGAAATTGCCCCCCGAGTGCTGCCTCCGGGCCCCTCCTATGCGACAGAAGAGGCATTTGACCTTCTCGATGGCTTTGCTGAGCACAGTCTTGCGGAGGAGGATGTAGACCCATGGGTCCAAAATGGGGTTCACTGAGGCAATGCGGATGGCTTGCAGGTCAGGGTTTTGCCTCTCATCCTTCACTAGTTCCGGCTGGTACAGCTGGTTCACAAAGACACGGACCTACCCGAAGAGACAGGGAAGAGAAAGACACAGTTACACAATTACATCAGGAAACCAAGGTTTACATTTCAAAGCAGAGATCTACATTTGCAGCTGCAAGCTATGACAAGAGAAGAGGCTGGCAAAACTGTGAGTTAATTTTTGGAAATGGCAGAGCAATCAGAGAGATGAATCTGCTGTAAACGGACCTTCTTTCTTACAGGTAGGAAAGGAATGGCTCTTCTGTCTCCTTCCCTTCATAATTAATCTTTGAACCTTCAACTTTTAAGACTAATTAGGATCTCATCTTCTACACAGAAATGTCTCCTTAGGGTTCTACCTTTAAATCCAATTAAAAGACAGTACCCTAGTCCCTATCCTGGTTAACAGCTACTTCTGTTGTAAATGCTCCTGTGAGTAAGGCACAGTCCAATTCTTTGATATCAATTGTTATCTTTCCAGTGTTGCTAAGGAGGATGACATCACATGAGTTTGTTATGTTGATCAGTCTCAAATAGTGGTTCTCCACTTTAGGAGACCTATGCACTGTCCAATTCTAGGAAAACCTAGGAAAGCCACTGAAAAGAATTGGCAATGGAAGATGCTGTTTTCTTCAAATTCCTTAAGCTGAGTCAAAATAAATCACTTACTTATCTTCTTAATCTGATACAGTAAAAGTCTAGTAGCAAAATTATAAGAATTTTTATATTTCAGCCTTTGACTCCTGAAATGAAGCAAGTCTTGCCTCGCTAAGAGAAGGTTACAGACAAGGTGGCAGGCAAGCACTTAAAGAAACTGGAGCCAAACTACAGCAGCCCTCTTAAGTAATTTTTATTTGAAGTTCTGCATGCGAAGCTGTCCAAGTCTGGAGAAAAATTTCACAATTCTGTCTGGAGAAATTTTCCTGCAGCAGGGCAATGTGGTGGCATTCAGCTTGTCAGAGTTCAGAGACTGAGTGTGCTCCAAAGCTATCAGTGAGGTATGTTTAAAGTAATGCAGAGGCCCTCTTCAGAACACCTATGGACAGTCTCTCTCAAACCGACTGTCAAATTGACTATTGCCCACATCTTCTTTCGTAGTGCTTTTCTCTGGGTTTATGGGTAACAAAGCCTGCCCACAGAATTCAAAATATGGGAAAATATTGAATTTATACAGAAACATAATGATCTGAGTTTTATTCTCAGTTATTTTCCTAATTATTTCTAACACTGCAGATGTCTTTTTGACAACTAATTTACTGACCCTATTTTTCTGTTAAGCCAGACTCGCAATTCAAAGAGTTCCTATGCATACTGCCTTAATTTTTTTCCTTAACAAGGCCCCTAATGAAAGCCTCTCGCCCTCCGCTGGGGGGAAGCCAGCCTGACGACCCCTTCCCCGCGCGCGCCGCTAGGTGGCACGGATGTCCCACGGTGGCGGCCACCCAGCCCAGAGCCACTGGCGCGCGGCTCCGCAGGCCGCCGCGACCCAGAGGGGGCCAGGGAAGGGAAAGGGGTGGCCCGGTGGTCAGCTTTGCAGGTGCGGAGAAGCTCTGCGACTCCGTTTGTCAGCTGGGGCGAGCGACGCTGCTATCAGCGACACATTCGTTGGGCCCAAAACGCAGCAGCCAGGATTCCTCAGCCTGGAAGGCTGAAAAGTAACTTGACGTGACATCGTCCAGCATCAGCTAAAATCTGCTCTTGCAATACCTACTTGACCATTTGTATGAGATTTCTTTCTTCCCCCTCCAAAATGATTAAGAGGTCAAATGTACACATATAGAAAGATCAAATATATAAAAAGGCCAAATTTCCCCGGGGGATTTAACCTGTGCCATAGCAACATCTCTTTCCAAATGCTGCTTTTCTTTTTCTGTAGTGGGGTTTCCTTACAGAGGGGATTACATTGTGGAAGTATGTAAATGCTGGTCCATGTATCTGACCTGCTGATCACTGGACAGGGCCTGCATCAAGAGCCAGGGGTTCAAAGGACGGTGCTGAGAGAGAGGAGGCCTTCCAGCAGCTCTCAAAAATGAAGGTAGTCATTACCGGGAAGATGAGAGGTGTGACAGGGAGGGGTCTTTGCGCGTAAATTCACCCAGATCATAGGACCAAAAGGCACACTTTGAAGACAGCTGAAGAAGTACACAGTCCAACTTGGGAGACCTGACTTTTTTTTTTTTTTAAACTTGGAGCTGTAGTTACACATCAGTGATTTAATAGTGGGATTGTTCTTTTGATAAGCAGCATACGACACTGAGGTACCTATTTCACCTTTCTCTGTCTACCTGGCAGACCTTATGGAAAGACAAAAATGTCTCTAAGTGCTGACTCTGCAGCTGAAAAGGACAATCGCTAATTGCACAGCGCAACTTGCTTCATGTTATCTCTGTATGCTTTATTTCCTTTTGACAGATACGTGGCACGTATAGGTTAACAGATTCATAAAAGGGACCTATTTAGGGAAAACTTTGGACTATACAAAACTCTTTCTACTTCCCAGAAAAGTCTCATGTCTTTTGTTAGAAGCCTCCTCGAATGTCAGATGCATTTATGAATTCACACCTATTGCTGGGATTACAGGTTCATCACAATAAGGTAAAAATTAACCTGTGTGGGAATGTCAGTTTTATAATTTCTTTACATGTTAGTCAAACAGCATCTACTAATGTATCATCACCAAGAACAGCAAGAGAGGTATCCTGTTTTGGCTACGAGTCTTCTGCTGCAGGAGGTAGCACGATAAAGGATATTGCCTTGCATCTTGTAAGTAAGTGCTGAGTAAGTGGAATCCACCACTAAGTTAGCTACTACAACACTTGAATTCATGCGATTTGAAATGCTAATTAAAGAAAGAATTAAACTAGAACAATTCACATCTCAAAGTTTTGTATGTAAGCTTTGCAGCTGTAGAATTTGGGCAGCGTATCTTAAAAGTACTAGCAGTTTTTGCCATTGTGTTACGAAGCACGTAGCTCCAAAGTTTGTTGAGTTTATGCTGAAGTGACAGGTACCTGTGGGATCAGCGTCCTGTGTGCTGCGTTTCCTTTTTAGGAGCTACAGATGCAGATCATGGTTTCCAATCCTATGAAGTACAATGAAGTGACTTGTATAGTTACAGTCACACTGCTAATTGTCTTCATAGCTTCTGCCTGCCCTCAAATTCTCCCCACATACCAATAGGATAAATTTAAAAACCATATGGCAGTAAGCAGGAACAAGTTTTTCAGCTCTACAAGCCAATGACCTTTGCCCTTCAAGGGTTTGGTGTCTGCTTGGTATCTACTCCATTGCCCAAAATCATGTCTGCCACTTTGCTGTTGGCTGATATTTAAAGAGAAAAGTCGAAACCAACCAAGCCAAAAGCAAATCCAAACTTTCAGATGAATTAAACATTAAGTTAGAAACTCCAAGTTAGAAACTCCTGATTATTTAATGCAATCGACTCCCAAAACATATTTTATTTTCCACTTTGACGTAATTTAAAAACAATGTTCTGTGGTCAGGATCAGAAAAAGATCACACATTTAAAAATCTTACGAGTATCTGACAGGCTGCTGGAGTGAATTACAGACTTTGAGTCGTGTGTGCCTATTTACTCTTGAAAGAGTTTGTTGGGTTTTTTTGAAGGCCGGATAATAGTTTTTACTCTATTCTTGACAAAATCTCTCATAATATAACTTATTTCCTACTTTTAACTCTATCTCATTCTATTTTCTAAAAACTCAAAGTGTTTTGAAAAAAACAGTGTGGAGTGTGGACAAGAGTCAGCACACAATTTAAGTATTTTCTGTATTTCATTTTCAAGCTATTGTCAGATTCTTCTTCATGTCTTTCACATCACTTTCTGCACATTGAGAACACATCAGGTTATATCTAAAGTTTCCTTTCACTCATATTTTTCGTTCAGCATTTCTTTGCTTGATAAATTTGATCAGCCTTCAGTTCTGTCAAGTTCCTTCAGTGTGTGGCACAATCCCCCATAATTTTTTATAGTGCTTGTTGTCACTGTAAAATTTTGCTGATTTTATCAATAAACCAGTAAGACACTAAAAAACCCTACTTGTAAACTGAGTGCTGGAGAATCTTATTATCCAAAACTGCTGTTCTCTGTAACTCAGCTTGCTGTTCTTTAACTACTTTTTAAATCAAGACAAGCCCTTGCTTATTATTTCAGGACAATTTCTTATTTTAAGAACTTGAAACTTTTTTGTCAAACCCTAATAAATGTAGCCTGCTGGATTGCCTCTGCTATTTTATTATATTGTGAAAGTGTTTGTTCTAAAATGTTAGAGGTTTATGTCTGTCTCTCAGAAGTCACTTTGCTTTGACTTGATTGTTTATTCAGCTGAAATCACCAGTAGCAAGTCAGCTCATCAGAAAACCTCAGTCACAAAGCACCCTCTGAGCTTGCTTTGTGTATCTGAATCACGCTGCCACCAGCACCTTACCACCTGCATGTTGCTGATGACTGCCAGGCCGTCCTGTAACAGACGAGGGCTCTCTAAAGCTCCTCAGAGTCATTAAAATGGATGTGTGTATTAGTGATTGACCTGTCTCTGCTAGTGCCTCTTTCCAGAGATTTATAGGATAAAGGTGTCACTTCTCTGAGTTTATATCTGACTTCTTACTCTCAGTCTATACGCAACCCAAGGGCTTAATACAGCAGCACACACTGCTGTACATCATTGCACAAAGCAGTGTATATGGCTATAGCTTATTCCCACAGGGGGAGGCAAATGACTTATAAAAGCTACTTAACAGCAAAGAAATTTAACCACACTGGACACTGTGATGATGTGTATGTATGTGGTTGTTTCTTCTTTTAAAAGAAAGTTTCCTTTTTTTCTTAGTCATCCATGTAAGTGAAATGACAGTCATATTAGATATAGATATAATAGATTAGAATTATATATAGAAAAGTTGTGCCGCTTTAGCAGGGAAAAGCTAACTTACGTGAACACTCCCAAGGTAACACTGCGCCTTTATAAGTAGTGAAATCAAGGTCTGAGAGAGCTACACAACTTCATCACCTGTGCCTTCAACACACCTTCTGCTGTGTACAAGGTTTTCACTAGCTACTGTTTAAATAATAAACCTTTTGCCCCACCCAGGTTCATTAATTTTAACTGTCAACAATCCAGTTCCCTTTCTGGTAACCACTCTCTCTTGATTTTACCCTTTTCTTTTCGTGTTTTTTTGTGTTTTGGTTTTTTTTTAATATTCTGTAAAAGACTGCCTAGCTCCAAATGGATGTGAACAATATCATTCTGCTTTCTACGCTCAGACTTCTCGGCCTTCCTTTAGCTGCTTGGGATAAGGTTTGGCTTTTTTCTGAAACTGCGGAGTCCACCAGCTGATGCCCTGTATCACATTACTACACTGTATTTAACTCCCAGAAACCACTCTTTGAATTTAACCAGCGTCTCTTTTGAAAACTCACTGTTCTTTCATGAAGTAGCTCTGACAACACCAGATTAATCAAGTTAAGTACTGCGAACCCACGGTACCGTCGGAGTTTGGCCGCTCCATGACCTGATGGCTGCCAGTGCAGCAGGTCGGCATACCCCTGCGGTGCCTGGAACAGGGCGGGCTGTGCACAGTTCCTCCACCTAAAACACGAGCACCTCCCAGGGACACCCTGCCTGCGGCTCACACAGCACCTCCCGACTGCCTTCACGGACACACGGAACTGGGCTCGGTCACAGCGCCAAGTGACAACGCCAAAGGACAGGGGACAGGCCTCGGTGACAGCCCAGGCACTGGTGCTGCGGCACAGCCACACTTCACTGGCTCCTGTTTATGTCAGTAATGTGGCAAAACTGGCCCGATCCTTGCAATTACAGCTCCTCGGAAGCAGGGGGACGAACTCGCTGACCTCTCGAATCCTGTCAGCATGTACTTCTCTACACTTTCCCACCGCGCTACACACAATTCATTTTGCATCCCCAGCTGTAATTCACGCACACTGTAGCCCCTTTACAACAGAGGGATCACACTACCGACAATAAACCCCCTTAAAGCAGTCCTTCTAAAAACACTTTCTGTCTGACAACCACTGCTTGGCTCCCTGCGCTGTGTTTTGGAAGGTGGCAAATAAGGCAAGCCAGCCATTTGTTTAATGTCTCTGAGCCAGAAGAGAAGTTTGCCAAGCTTTATTATGGTGGGTGGCAAGCAAGAGCTGAACCTCCAGCTGGTGGATTTTTTTGTTTTCCTTGGAGATAAGGTGAAGGAATAGAAATAAGTGGATCCTGCATGTTCAATTCAATTACAGTAATTGTATCAGCTGTTTCAGAAAATCAGCGAACAGTTAATAGTCACATTGTCTGACATTTCGGTATGATGTCTAGATTTATGTGGGCCAGATTCCTCCAACTCTCATTTAACTGAGAATCACCCCGACGGGGGGGTTCCACCATGTTTACTCCTCCCACAGAGGGGAAGCTGCTGGAGGGATGCATGACTGTGGGATCTACCCCAGAGAGGGTGGGTGAATCCCTCAGAAGGGCAAGCTCGGCTCAGGTTTTGGATGTGAAGTATTCTGCACGTTGCTGGAGCTCCCTCCTTCCGCACACCCAGGACTGCTGTACCCTTCACCAACAGCGTGCACATTTTTAAAACACCATAAACATTCAGAAATGTGGGCCAGACGCAAACCTCACTCATCACAAATTAATTTTGAAAGGGAACTTTAAAGTGCCTTTAGCTCTCAGTAAGATTTCTGCCGGGTAGATTCCAATTAAACAGTGGAAAAATTACTGAGAATTTTTGGCACTGTATTTTAACCAATCAAAGGAGCCCAGGACTTGGGATAAGCATGTTTCTTTTCTTGTACATACAAACCTACACAACTTTCTCTCACCATGCGTGTTCGCTAACAGCCTTGAAGTTATGACAGTCTGCAGCACCAGCTAAACACAAGTCTGTCCTACAAGCACAGACTAGGAGGAGAAAAGACTCAGCAGCGCGGGTGATGGAAAAGAAGAAGGATTGCACTACGTTACTCACCACCAGTGGAATGGAGCAGATGACCACCACCAGGGAAGTGGCAATAAGCAGAATAACCATCTGGATCTCTGCTCCAGCCATCCGACGGAAGGTCCGGCGCCTGCGAAAGTCAGATAAACGGCTGGAGGTGGTGTCTGTCCCCAGGGATGTGCGTCGCATGAACTGGCGGTGCATGCGGATGAGGGCCACGCACACCAGGATATTGCAGATCACGGTGACCATGATTAGAAAGGAGCTGAAGCCGGCGTACATGTAGGAATATGCCGCGTGGGTAGCCTCCTTTGTTCGCCAGTCTATGAAACACCAAGTGGCAGGGTGCTGCAAGGTAGATTTGCCGAGGCCCATGCTGGGGAGGGCACAGAACAGCACATTGGATGCATAGATGGCAAAAAGCGTGAGACCTGCCAGCTTCTTGTCTACGTAGTGGTTGTAGAAATAGGCATGGTTGATGGCCAGGTACCTCTCTATGGACATGGCACAGATAATGCTGAGGCCAGAGAGTCCGAAGAAGAGGAGGATGAAAGAGCTGTACTCACACAGTGCTGGTCCTCCTGGCCAACGGTTCTGCAGGTAAGTGGCGATAGTGACCGGACTCACCAGGCAGGTCCCCAGGAGATCAGTGACTGCCAGCCCACAGACCAGCGTGTAGAAAGTGGTCTCCTTCTGCTCTTTCCTGGACTTGCAGAGCACCACGATGGCTATGAGGTTGCCCACCACACCAAAGATGAACATGACGGTGGGAATGGTGGGGGACTTCCCGCCCTCGGCT